TCCCTGCCCAGCCCCAGCCCCTCGGCTCCCACCCAACCCACCCCATGGATGGGGCATCACGTTTCTGCTAAGGAATCGGAGCCCCTTTCCGGAACAAGGTCTCTGAATCTGGTTCAGAGCCTCTCCTCCAAGCACAAGTGAAGTTTTTCAGGACTATGCGCCCCAGCCAAGGGCTTGAGCAATGCCCGTGAACTCCTCGCTGTCACGCACAGCCGCTCACAGCAAAGAGCAAATCTCCTGCAAGCACTTTACTCACTCAGTACCATAACAGGAATCCATCACTACCTCTCAAGAAAGCAAATGTAGGGAATTTTTAGGAGATTTGCTCTTCGAGTGCTTTGGGAAGATTTATATGAAAGGGGGGCACAAAGACTAAAAGCAGAGACTTTGAAAGAGTGCGCAAGTGCATCCATGCTGACAGCTGAACAGGACAGAGACTTGGAACCCTGAGCAAGGACATTCTGTTCAGGGGACAGCAACTTTGTAAATTAAGATAGCTACATCAAAATGACACCTGGTTCTAAGCCCCATTTTTCATCCCAACGGGAACAATCCATAAAGCCCCATCTCTGGCTGATGCAGCGCGCACAGGACAGAGTAACATTATCCGTGTGAAGAAAAAATGAGCAAATACAGAATAATAGCAATCAAATTAGAAGGAGCAGAACCACAGATAGAGATCACGATGTTAGCTACGGCATTTCTGAGATTGGTTTAGGGCCGTGCGCGTTGCTTTTTTTTTGTCTGTTTAGACAACACGCCATCTGGGTTGGGAACTCTGGGAGGCCAGGTCAGTATGGTGACTGGGACAATTAGACTCTGTAGACTCCTGGTTGAAAGACTGTAAAAATAGCAAATGAAAATAATACAAGCAGTAGTCACAGAGAAGTGACATCAAACATTTAAGTATAAACAATATTTATAAGGAAGTGAGGTTGAAGAAGCTCCAACTCCGGCTTTGCAGCCAGTTCCACAAAGACAGCACTAAACCCAAGCGGATAGTGAAGCAGTAATCTACTAAATGCAGACACCTTCCAAAGTGGAACGTTATACTAACTCATCTACACACAGAAATACCTTATGTTGAATTACTTCAGATGCATAAATGCACATAATACCTACCCCTATAAAAACGCCTTTAGAAAAAAGCCTTTTCCAAAACAAATGAGAAATGACAACATATGCAGAGAAATTAAGGCACCTAACTCTTCTTGAAGCCAGTGGGAACTAAACAGAAGCCCAAATTGTATTATGGATCTAGGCCTAAAGCCCTGCTCTGCAAATGCTTCTGGATGCAAGCAGATCTACGCAAGTGGATAGTCTTATTCACATTTGTAGGTGTTTGCAAGGTAGGGCCTAATTCTGCATGGGTTTTAAGACCAAAATCCCTTACCCAAAGCTGGTGCAAGTTTAGATCTCACCTATCAGCTCCGAAGTTAATATTTTACTACTGAATTCTATGAGAACTAGACCTTATTTTTAATTGTAATTAACACTGCCTGTCCTCATAATCTTTCTTTTCTTTGAGCCCAACAGTTAAATACGTGGTGTCGCATTCACTCCCCTAGCTTTAGGTATCTAAAAGTTTGGGATCAGCACTGTTGGTTTTCTAAGCTCCCTCTGCTGTCAGTGGAGCAGAAGTTGGAGACAAGAAGCACCTTTTGAAGGTTATTCAGCTCATTCTGCAAGAAGTGGCTGACTCTGGGCGGCAGAGGTAGGGAGGCCACCCCATGGTCCATCTGCCAGCCTGCTCTGGAGTCAGTAACCTCTGGCAATGAGGCAGGAACACAGCAGCCCTGTCAGACACATCTAGCTAGGCTTTGGGCAAGACACCACACGAGCTGTGTGTAGCATCTTTAACTCTTGATAAAAGTTTGGGATATTTAGTGTATTAATAAAGTTTACACTGACAATTACCCATCAGTCTCTGTCAGCTACTTCAATAATCCATCACCTGCGCACAAAAAGAATTCTGAATGTTAGGAAAATTATTTAGCTCCAACGATCTTTTGAGGGGGAAAACTATTAATAAAAGGTTGTGTTTTCAGAGTGTTCTGATAAATTCTAGCTATTCTGTCTGGTTATCAGTGACTCCAAGATTTTCTTCAAAAAAATTATTTTAGTAGATTATATTTTTCAGCTGAGCGAATAGACATTGTGTTATTGCTAAAAAAACCTAAATGCTGAAATAAACTGGCTTGTGCACATGGGCTTATTACACTTCTAAAGACAGCAATTCAAAAATTCAACTTCTTTCAAGGGAATGAATGCAGATCATATGGTCTTCTGAAATATTCGAATTCAAATTACAGAAGGGGAAGAGACCTTTATCAGTATTAATCTATCTAATTGAGCTTGAAAGGATCAGCTTTATGAAAGGAAAATTCATTCTTTTAAGGTTTTATTCTTGGAACTACTTTTCGTTCTGTTTTTAAAACACCCCTCCTTATAGATCATTATCCCAAAATTATCTTTCTGAATGACTTCTTCTCAGCATGACACTACGATGTCAGAGGGCTTGCTTAGTAGGAAGAGTTCTAACTCACAAATTATTAATGGCAATGCAAAATGTATGCACAGTATCAAAAGATACATATTCCTCTTCTCTGGGCATTTCATTCCACAGAGAATAAGAAATAACAGTACCTTGCAACACATTTCGGTAGTGGTGGAGCCACACACCTAAGCAGATGCCTAACTCTTAAGTATATCAGTTTCTTCACCTTGCACCCTCTGCCTCCTCTTGGCTGGCTTGGGGAGACCAAACGAGGCAGACGGGCCTTTCTCCATCTGCTGCCCACACTCCTCTCTTCTAAAACTCAGCCCAGGCATCTCAAAAACCTTTCTGGCTCAAGGGGTTTCCACCCTTTTGGCTACAAGCGATCCCTTCTGAGATCAGAAAGGGCTGTGGGGGTTGAAGCAGCAAAGGCCTTGCAGGGCCACCCCTGCCCAGAAGTCACAGAGGCATCACGGGGTGACGCAGACCTAACTCAGACCTTGTGCCCAGCGCAGGAATGTGTCTAAGCGGTCTGCTCCTGAGGCAAAAACAAGACTAAGGATTTTGGAAGGGGATCTTGTCCGAGAGGGCTGACAGCAAGACTGCACAAGAGAGTGTTCGTTAGGCAGGCTCCAGGGAGAAGCCTCCATGTGCCCATCTGCAGGGTTTCCTCTGCGATGGACCCAGCACAATTCCTGGCACATGGACACGAGACTGGAGTGGCTTTTTCTGCCATCAATTTAGCAAACCTCTAAAAGGCCATTTAAATCTACCCCATGCCTATGGTCCAGTCACCTATATGCCCACATCTAATAGAGAAGCATGGGCAGCCAAGCACAGGTTCTCACAGAGGCCCCCCCATGCCCAACACACTGCTGTGCAGCGCAACCTCGAGCCCCTTGTGCCCTGACCAGCCTCCCCTTTGAGGCACTTCAAAAAAACAGAGTTTACCCCCTGCCTTATCACACACTTGAACTAGATAAAAACAAAGGAGTATCCCTCTCCTGTGAAAAGCAACAGGGCTGTTTTTTTTTTAAATCGATCACAGCTTCCCATATCCAGCTGACAATAATTTATCTGGATGTACCCAATAACGTAAAATAGGTATCTTTACTCACAACGATGCCTGGGTAGTAGCCTCCCACGGTAACGTTTTCTGTCCTTGTGGTAGCTGCCAGACCTATGGTCAGTATGAAAACAGACACTACCAGCAGAGCAACTGTGAACCAAAGCGAAGTCTTCTTCCTTTTCACAAATTGTCCTGTAGGGAGCAGGAAGGAGAAAAAAAGAGAGCTTTTCGTTGCAACCATGGCAGAACAAATACAAAATAATGGAAGATTTTCTTTCATTAATCTTTCCCGTTGTTAACCCACTGTTGTTCTCCCACTAAGGCAAAGAGCTGGCAGACAACAGAGAGAATTAAAAAACACAGAATTAGCTACAGCTCAGCACAGCTTAACACAGGCACACTGGGTACGAGCACGAGATGAGTTTTTATTCAGCTAAACTGAAAGCCAGTGACAATGATAATTATGCCCTGTCTTCAGTAACATTTATAATTAAATGCTGCCCGCATCCAAAAGTCGGATCCTGCAGGCCTTAAACGCTTACCTACGTGAAGTGCCAATTTGACTCTCCCTGGACAGAACATAAAAATTTATATTTTAAACAAGATCAGCAGAAGCTCTGTATGCAATCGTGAAAACGAATGCGCTCTTCATATTTGCTAGGGTAATCAAACCAATCTGTATCTCCGAAGCAAACTGTGATATTGTTGATCAGCCAATGATATATGGGACTATCCTTTTAAGCTGCTCAGTGAAATACATCCAGTCCCGATGGGATTTGGATCCAGATACCTCAAAGTGAAAAACGGCAGGCTCCTCTGCTGCTTTCAGCCTGCTTCAAGCCACTTAACCTTGTTATGGCAGTGGCATATCTGAGCTGCAACCACAGGTCACTAACACCAGAGCCCCAGCCCATAGCACAGATTCATGTAAGACTCATTTAAAACCAGCAATCAATAATGTGACCCTAACTAACAAAAGGCACCCAAATGAATCAAACCACGGTCCCTCTTTCTGGTCCTTTTTGCTTTGAAAGGCAAGGCAAGAGCGTGCAGGACTACCCCTGGAGCACCGGGCCACGCAATGCCATGCGACCCTAGGCAGCACAGAGCTCCAGCCAGAGACCAGAACCTGTCCCACCAGGGCCAACATCTTTCCCGCTATGGCCTCGCTAAACTCCCTGCGTGCCCCATCTTGTGATGAGGCAGAGGCCATGGTGTTGTGCCGAATACTGGGGGCCACAGCCCTTGCCAGGGAGGGGCAGGTGACAGGGGAAGGCAGCCTTGTGTGGATCAGGGTCTGAGGGTGAGCCACGATGCGGCTGCTGCAAGCAAAAGCAGGGGGAATGGAGGAAAGTCGAAAAGCAAGCAGAAGCCATTCACCACAAGCCATTTGAGTTACGTGGCCAATTTAAAGTCAGGTAACTCGGTCCCATGTCTACAGTTCAAACGCCAGGCTAGATTAGTGATGTTTGCAAACCAAGTCAAATAATTCCAATGAATAAATAAATGCATTTATAATAAAAATCTGTATGTTTGCTGACATTTCTCCAGTAGAACAATCAGCCAAAATGAGTCCAGTCTTTCAGTACGAAATGCAAGCAACTTACCAAGGACAAATACCATCTACTGAGCTTACACGAGTTTCTTTCACCTGCATGTACAAAGTCTTCCTGCTAAAGAAATAATTCATAGGATTCTCCAGATACCTCCCCTCCAGCCTGTGCCCCAGCTGCCTGCCTCTGGCAATTCCCTGTTAATCCATGGAGGGTCACTGGGGACATGTAAATGGAGAGGTTCTTCATTATCAGTCAGTTCTTCACGAAGTGTATGGGGTTAAAGGCAGCTCTTTCAAAGAAGCCAGCTGACATGTCCAAGAGGGGAAAGCAGACTTCAGACTTGCAACTCCACAAATCAGTTTTCCTTCCCATAAACTGATTAATTCAATATATCCACCAGATTTTTAAAAATATCTGATATCCTTGCTGCACTTTATCATCTTCAAAAAGTCACGGAGATCGGGGAATCCCCAATAACTGAAGAAAGACAAATGCTCCACCTATCTTTAAAAAAGGCCAAAATGACAATTTGGGGAATTAAAGGCAAATCAACCTCACTTGGTTTCCTGGGAGGCTGGGACCAAAACTACAGAGCAACTCCTCTTGTGAGACATTTCTGGGCACATAAAGAAAAGGTGATTGGGAGTCAGCATGGATTTACCAGAGACAAATCGTGTCAGACCAACACAACTGCCTGCTATGACAAAATGACTGGACTTGTGGAGTAGTGGATGTCTTCTACCTCAAATCTAGCAAGGTTTTTAGCACGGTATCCCACATCATTCTCATGACCCAACTGGGATGTCATGGCCTGGATGGGTGGACAAGCAGATGGTTGAAAAATTGGCTGCAGGATGGTTACAAAATTGGTTCAGAGGGAGTGGTTAATGGATTGTGCTCTACCTGGAGGCCAGTAACAATTGGAGTACAATGGGGGTCTGTCTTGGCACCTGTCCATTTAATTTATTCATCAATGACGTAGAGAAAGTCATAGAGTGCATGCTCATCAAGCTGGCAGATGACACAAAACTGGGGGACAAGTCAATGCCTGGAGGGCAGGGCTGCCATTCAAAGAGAGCTAGGCAGGCTGGAAAAATGGGCCAGCAGAAACCTTACAGAATCCAACAGACAGATAAAAAGTCCTGAGCGAAGGAAGGAATAACACCTTGCAGTGATACAGGTTGCAGACTGCCAGGCTGGGGAGCAGTTTGGCTGAAAAGGACCTGAGGGTGTTGGTAGACAATGAGCTGAGCATGCAGGAGCAGTGTGACCCGGCAGCAAAGAAGGCCAACAGCATCCTGGGCTGTATTAACAGGGGCATCACCACAAAGAAGCTGAGGGAACAGGGCTTGCTCAGCCTAGAGATGAGATGGCTTTTGGCAGGGCTACAAGCAATCTTTCAGTGACTGTGAGGTGGTTGTCAAGAGGACAGACTCAGACTTCTCATAGTGGAGCACAGCAGAAGGACAAAAGACAGTGGACATAAACTGAAACACAAAAAGTGTTTCAGACTGAATATAAGGAGAAAAAAAATCAATATTAGGACAGTCAAGCAATGGAACAGGTTGCCCAAAGAGCTTGTGCTGTCTCCATCCTTGGAAGTTGTCAAGATCCAACCAGAAAAAGCCATGAGCAACCTGGTCTGACCTCACAGTTGACCCTGCCATGAGCAGGAGTTCGGACTAGCAACTTCCTGAGGTACCTTCCCACCTGAATTATTCAATGGTTTTATGATAGTCAAGACAGCTAGACTAAAGGTGGCTGGGGTATGTGTGCTCATATCTATGATTATGAAACTTCAGCTGCAACATAGACATACTCTAATGGGACATAGGAACACAAACCTTCTGCAAGCCAGTGGGACAGACACTCCTCAGCCAAGTGTTTCCAAAACCAATGAATCTCTGCTTTTATGATAGGTGCCTGAGAAGCGAAGCCTCCACATTTTTCTCAAAGTAACACCTGTACTGGCAAAGGTTAGTCAGATTGCATGGAGATAAACTAAGGATCCAACATGCCCTCCAGAGTTTTGGTTATCAATAATGGTATGCAAAAAGAGACATGAGTTTTATTGCCCAGACTGAGTTCTCTGGGAAATGTCTTAGGAAAAGCATGCTTTTATTTGTAATTGGATTAAATCAGACAAGGATTTAGTGCGATAAAACAGAAAAGGATGTCATTATTAATAAGGTCATTTTTTGAGCTGAACTACATTTTTACTTTGAAATTTACACTTGCCAGAAAGCATTTACATATGTGATACCCTTCAATCCTCACATTCATTGATCTTTTACCAGCTGCACCTCAAATCAGAGGCAAATACCCACTCGTATCTCTTATTTTTCATACTCCAGTTTGGAAATTCTCATAACCCCATGTAGTTAGCTATAAACTCCACCCTTAGGAGAGATGACTTACAGGCAGCAGCATGGAACGGCCCCTTCTGGAGCAGAGATGGCCCGTGTACTCAAAGGCTCAGAGAATATGGGCAGAAATCAGGTCTAAATTGTGATCTCTGCTCTGGCTGTCTGGCTTTCTTCAGTCACATCAACAAAAATCTTTGGCATCCTTATCAAAATGTGTATAATTACATGTATATAAGTCAGCAGCATATTGTGAAGCTTAAGTAGTATTTGTAAAGCACCATAGTATCTTCAGATGAAAAATGCTACAGCTGCAAAGGGTTCCTACTATTAGCTCCATTCTGCTATTTCAGTTATGTTGGCTCCCAAGATTTTTTGAGTCTTTGTTTACTGGTGTTTGTAGCAGTTGCCATGCAGTTTTTTGGATCTGTTTTTAACGTACCTACCAGCCAAAACCCAATGCTGGACTGTTCCCTCAGGAGCCCTTCTGCAGCACAGACAGAGGGACACCCTTCTGCCCTGACACTCTCTGTGCCTCGGACCGAAGGCCGACCATGCACAAGAATAGCAGTTAAA